CTAAAAATCGCAATTTTGAGGGCTTGCAAAAATGTGCTAGAAGCTGTCAATAAACTTGAGGAGAGAGTCACGAAAACTAATGAGACCCTCGATGCTATGATAAAGAACCAACTAGAAATTAAGCATACACGGACTGAAATAAAGAATATTATACAGACACCCAATAGCAGACCAGAGGAGCACAAGAATCAAGCCAAAGATTTGAAATGCGAAGAAGCAAAAAACACCCAACCGGAAAAGCAAAATGAAAAAAGAATCCGAAAATACGAAGATAGTGTAAGGAGCCTCTGGGACAGCTTCAAGCGTACCAACATCAGAATAATAGGGGTGCCAGAAGATGAGAGACAGCAAGATATTGAAAACCTATTTGAAGAAATAATGGCAGAAAACTTCCCCCACCTGGTGAAAGAAATGGACTTACAGGTCCAAGAAGCGCAGAGAACCCCAAACAAAAGGAATCCAAAGAGGACCACACCAAGACACATCATAATTAAAATGCCAAGAGCAAAAGACAAAGAGAGAATCTTAAAAGCAGCAAGAGAAAGAGACTCAATTACCTACAAGGGAATACCCATACGACTGTCAGCTGATTTCTCAACAGAAACTTGGCAGGCGAGTGATCAGCTGGATGTGGTAGTCTGAAGTTTAGAACAGAGAAGATAAAAATCTATGCATTGTCTGCATACAGATGTTATTTGAAATCACAAGAAAGGATGAGATCATCAGATAAATTAATATAGATATGGAACATGAAAAGATGAGAACTGAACCTGGGGCCCTAACATTTAGAAGGTGTTGCTGTACCCAGTTGGCGTGGCTCAGTGGTTGAGTGTTGATCTATGAACCAGGAGGTCATGGTTCAATTCCTGGTCAGAGCATATGCCCAGGTTGCGGGCTCGATCCCAGTATGGGGCATGCAGGAGGCAGCCGATCAATGATACTCTCTCATCATTGTTGTTTCTAACTCTCTCCCTCTCCCTTCCTCTCTGAAATCAATATATAGATTTACAAAAATTATATATATATATATGTGTGTGTATATATATATACATACACACACACACACACACACACACACACACACATATATATATAGAGAGGGGAGGGGGGGAGCTGCTGAGGAGGAGGAAGAGGAGAAGGGGGAGGATTCAGCAACAGGAGACTGAGCAGGAACAGCCAGTAAAGTGGGGGGAAAACCATGAGAAAAACCAGGAGAGAAAGGGATCTGATCAGCTAACTGAGGAAAGTGTTTCAGGAAGGAGAAAGTGGGTAGTGTGGCCCAGCAGTCTAAGAAAGAGAGAATGACTAAATGTATTGAGGTTGCTGATAGGTAAAGAAAAATAAGGGCTGAGGCAGACATCACCATTTGATTAAGCAATATATACCACTCAAAATATACCACTTCGGCACACGGATTATTTTGAGCTGAAAGCAGTTGAGAAGAAGTAGATCTGAGAAAAGCTCTCTGCCTCCCTCTATTTGTATAAAAGTAGGACAAAAACTGATGGAAGTGTCTCTCTCTACCAGAAAAAATAAGTTATTCACCAGAGACAACTTTAGACCCTTATCAGCCTGGAGACAGCACCAGAGGAATCTATAGAACAAACTTTACTAATAGCCTTTATCTACCAATAGTTTCCCATATATTTGCCTTCCCACAATTTGCTAGTCCTAAATGCAGTTCCTTTTCCTTTGTCTTGTCACTTCTCTAAAACTGTATTGTTCCTTTTCTAAGGTGCTATATAAGCCCAAGTTCTAACAAAACATTTGAGTCACTCATCTCTGGATACACATTGAACATATTCCTGAACTTCTGCTTTTCTCTTGTTGATGTGTACTTGGCCAGTCTCATCCATAGGCCCCAGATGGAGAACCTAAGATGGGTGGAGGAAGAACTTTTTCTCCCCTACAGAGGTCCTTAGTGACATAGACAAGAGCAAAGTAGGTACAGTATTTAGGTGTGAAAATCTAATTGGACCAGATTAAAGAGACTGGGAGGAGAGAAATGATGCAAACATTATAGACAATTCTCTCTCAAGTTTTTGGCAGTAACCGGAAGGGAGTTAGAGGTGAAGATATTGGTGTTAAAAATGTCAAAATAATACATTATATGCATGATAGAGGTTGCCCATCATTGATAGAGGTGACATACATTTCATTCATGATAGCTAATCAGGTAGTTCCTGGGTGCTGTTCTAAGTGCATTAGTTAATATCCTCATAACAGCCCCATGAAATTGTCATGCACCCCAGATTATGGAGGGAGAAACTGGAACAGGGGGTTTGATTGATTTACCGAAGGTCATACAATTAGTGAGTGATGGTGCTGGGATTTGAACTAGGTAATATGGCTATCTACATGAGTCCACGCCTATACTTAACTTTTATACTATACTGCCCGGTCCGGGCTGGATCTTGGCCATGGGCTGCCTAGATAATTTCTCCCAAGTGCTCTTTCCTATTTTCTGTCATGCTGTTACAACCTTCTCCAGGCTATGGAGGATCTCAGGGCTGAGCCTCATGGGATCTGCTACCCACCAAGGAGTCACTGAGAATGCAGAGAGGGAGAGACAGAGAGTAGGGAGGGTGGGAGCACAACAATGAACATCGCCCTCAAGACTGGAAAGGTCAAGACTGGAAAGGAGTAGAGGTCTCAGGGTTCTGACCTCATGTCACCTGTGGAGAGTCCCTCTACTAGCCCCACCCTTCCCCTCTCTTTTTTGACCTGTGGTGTTTTGAAGTAGTTCTGGATTCAGACACTAGAAAGCTGACTTGAGTTAAGGATCTGCTACCTAATAGCTGTGTGACCTTGGCCAAATGGCTTCATGTCTGAGTCTGGTGTTTTTAATCTATAAAATGAAGATTAATAATAGCTACTCTCTATTGAGCCCTCACTATGTACCAGGACTTGGGTCATTGATAAACCTGGGGCATTAGGTTGTGAACTATAAGGGACTGAACCATTGTGAGGCATTATTGTCATTATTCTGATCCTTGCCCTAAAAGCAATTTTTCTTTGGTTATTTCCTGTATAACTGATGTTTTCTTTTCACCTGCTCCCAGGTGACACGAGGTCCTTGGCTTTCTCTGAAGACTCCTCTAGGCTCTTCTATCATCTCTCAAGTGGCTGGACCTGTGCCAGGAGAATGTGAGGTACAGAGAATTCAGTTTAATGTCAACACCTCAGTCACTATCACATCACTCTATTATTTTAATATACCTGTTTGTGAAAGGATACCATATCTTAAGAAAAGCACACAAATCATGAGTGTTCGATGAATTATCACAAAACAACTACATCTGTGTAACTTTTGTTACCACCACCCAGTAAAGAAATAGAACATTATCGGCACCCTAGAAGCCCTCGTTGTGCCCACTTTGTGCCCCCTCCCAATCACTTCCACTTCCCTCCTCCCATGTCTTATCTCTGTGTTGCCAGAGCCCAGCACAAAGCCCTGCCAAGAGGCCCAGTAAATATTTGCTAAATTGAACCGAATGCCTTTGGAGCTAGTCACCTTGACTTTCTTGGCCTTGATTTACTTTTCTGAAAAATAGGGCCAGAATTTCAGTAATTTCTTAATTTTTTCATTGATTTCAGAGGGGAAGGGAGAGAGAGATAGAAACATCAGTGATGAGAGAGAATCATTGATCAGTTGTCTCCTCCATGCCCCCTACTGGGGATTGAGCCCGAAACCAATTCATGTGCCCTGACCAGAAATCGAACCGTGACCTCCTGGTTCATAAGTCGATGCTAAACCACTGAGGCATACTGGCTGGGCCAGTCAATGGTTGTTTTTAAAAATTTTACAATGATTCCAGTGTACAACGATGACCTCTTGAATCTTACCAATTCCAACCAACACTATACATTGAAATCTCAATTCCACTACTGCTGTGGGTTGAATTATATGTTCCCAAAAGATGCTGAAGTTCAAACCACCAGTACCTATGAATGTGGTCTTATTTGGAAACAGTGTTATTGAAGATGATCAAGTCAAGATGAGTTCATTAGGGTGGACCCCTAATCCAGTCTTATTGGTAACCTTATAAAAAGGGGAGATTTGGACTCAGAGACAGTGACACAGGGAGGTTGCCATGTGAAGATAGGAATTATGCTGCTACAGTCAAGGAACACCAAAGATTGTCAGCAAAGCACCAGAAGCTGGAAGCATGGAATAGATGTTCCCTCACACTCAACTCTGCCAACACCTTGATTTCAGACCTCTAGCCTCCAGAATATGAGACAATACATTTCTGGGTGTTTTTTTTAAGCCACCTAGTTTGTGGAATTTTGTTACAGCAGCGCTAGCAAACGAATACAAGTATTTACATACTAGCTAAGGAACTCTTTTTCACCCATTTTCTCATGTGCAAAACTGAAACCATAATAATAGTTCTACGTGCTGGGCTCTATTCTAAATCTTTTACACAGATGATCGCATTTGGTCGTCTCAGTAAGCCTCTGAGAGGTACTGCTGCCATTACCACTTTACAGATGAAAAAGTGTGGAACAGGGAGGTTAAGTAACTTGCTCAAGGTCACGTGGTAACTAAATACATAAGATAATAATATATCCTTCACAAGACTCAAGGGAAGCCTTATGAGACTGCGGGTGTGGCTGTGAAAGCGCTTTGTAAATAATAAAGCATTTTACCTCTGTTGGATAGAATCTCTACAGATCCAGGACTTTTTTGTGTGTGCCGTCTCTGCCTCTCCTTTCTCTGCCTACGGAATGTAATACTTCCTTCCGCCGGCGGCAAGGGGTCGCTGCGCCGCACGGACGCTGACAGGTCCCTCTAGCCCGCTCACGCTGGGTGCTCGTTGGTGCCTATAAATAGCAGTGACCGGCTCGGCTAGGCTTCAGCCCATCGCCGCCGGGGCTGCACCCGGCGCAGGAACCAGAGCTGGATCTAGACGCCGAGAAGCTGAAGCTGGGCAGGGGCG